TGGTAAGTTAGATTATACTGAAAAGGCTGGAAAGTTTCTTTCCAAATGTCATTTTATGTTCTGATTGGTGGACACTTTATCTCGTGTTGGATGTTGACAACTATGACTGCTGATTCTACTATTAACACCCGCATGGCATTTTTGCTCTTTCTGTGTTTTTTTTTTCTGGCTGCACTAGTTTACATGACCTGATCATTGCTTTTTGTTGTGCAGTCCTCGTTGATGGCTGTTTTGGTTGCATTGTAACCATCTCAAGATTAGATCACTCTGCCTGAAGAAGCGCTGTCTGCGATCTTAGTACCCTGTGATGATGACTGGAAATGTGAAAATTAGACCTCTAGCGGACTGAAATGTCGTCATGTGTTTTTTCGCAACAATATCTGTTTTTCTTTGTTATATTTTTGTTATATTACTCTCTTATGCGAATGCTTTATATTTCAGTTTCAAGGATTGTTACTAGTTAACATGGATGTTTCAGTTTCTTATACACTCTTCTACTTAAAAGAATCTCTGAGCACATGAATCAAATAGTTACTTTGTGACATATATGGTTGATTTTGCTCATTTGACGGGAATTTTAAGCTGCTTTAATCTGACTCCGTGATATTTAAGCAGCCTTGCATACATTTGCTGATTCCGTACTCGACTGGTTTTTGTTTAGCGCTGTTATCTTCTGAGAGAACGCAAATGTTGGTTTGGTTACAAGACTCGACATTGAGTTTTTTAAGAGGGCTTCCAAGATTTAGTACTTGTAGTGCGTGCAATTGGTCTTTATGTTGGGCTAATGACTTTCGAGGGTATGCAAACATTGGTTTATCTAAAAGGTTGCTAAGTTTTGAGGGTCTAGAGAGCTCTACAACTGTCGAGTACTGGCAAACTCGTTCATCTTTAAGATGCACTATGGCCGTTGAAATACGGCATGGAAAAATGAAGAGTCTGACGTGCTGCCATTCTTCAATTGCATGCTGCAGCATGTATGTAGACTGGTGTGGATCAGAAACATGCTCCACTCAGGGGGGCTCACTTTATCTAACATCCAGGTTCACGGATGATGCTGAGATATGAATATCACTGGGCATATAATGTTGCAATAGAAAATAGCGTTCCACCTATAACTTGCGACCTGCAGAGCAAGAAACTCCGGAGACAGTAATTGAAGCCTGAGTTTAGGTTGCCAGATCACAATCTGTAGTTACTGGAGTCAAAAGGGTTCTTCGTTTAAAGACAATTCAGTGCTCTCACAAGTGAATTTGAGTATCCACAACATATGGGATGATGAAGGTTGCAACACTGTTCAAGAGGCAATTTGCATGTTTGGGAAACAGTACATCTCGAAGATAACAACACAACCATAACATTGGTATTTAAAACCAGACGAGGATCAAGTGCAAGTACTTTTAACATAAAAAATCTGCTTATAGCAGATGTGCTGAAATTATTATGTTGATCAGCTGCTGTTTCACTTGGCAATCATTCAGAGAGGGCATGCCTTCTCAAATTCCTTTTGCTCTTTGCGACATAATTCAAACTCATTTGTGTGGTAGTACATGCACCCAGCATAAGCATCCATCTCTTTAGTGCACCTTTGATGAAGATCCTTCAACCTGCGAAGGCAGATTAAAAGCATTAAAGCTTTTCCTTGATATCTAAGCATTGGTCTTTTACTCTATAATTTTTTTAATAATGAGAGGATTACAACCAAATAATAAAAATCTTCAGGCATATAACGCATCATATGTCAACCTTATGACCTTGATGACTTCAATAACCAAATTTAGTTTACTCCAGTCGAGATTTACTCAAGTGGAGAAAACACAGATAATCATGCTTTAGCACACATCATTTCCTCTGCCAGCATCATTAGATAATTTTACCACCAAAGAGGAGAGAGATTGCTCTAGGAGTCTGAATAACTTGTACCTGATAATAAAGATATAACTGGCTACTTCACTGCCTCTCCACATTCCCCGCCAATCCCACACCCACCCCCCAAGAGGAAAGAAAACCCTGATCGAAGAACCAAAGTTAAATGTGAAGAATATCTCCAATATATACTGGATAGACCAGACAATTAATGGCTACATATGCTTGTGTCCATCTTATGCACAACCTACTTTCTCCTAGAAGCATGATATAGCACATACTCATTTAGGCGCAGTTCGCTTTGTCCTACTAAAAAGTTTTTAATCTTTGCATGCCAACAACACTATTTTAATAGTCGTTTGCAAACGAGGGGCTGGACTACCCATCCGTACTTAAAAGCATTCATGTGATGCTTACTGCCAAGCAGGGCACGGCACATCACGTCCGGTAACTACGAGCTAGAAGAAGAGATGACAAGTTTAAGCAGATTATTTTGGTGGCACTGGAATAAATCCCAGCCCAAAATCCTTGCTGGGACAGAGTAGCTAAAGAGACAGAGACTCCAATAACTTTGCAATTACATCCAGTTGCCAAGATAAAAATCCCAGCCCAAAATCCTTGCTGGGACAGGGTAGCTAAAGAGAGAGAGACTCCAATAACTTCGCAATTACATCCTGTTGCCAAGATAAATTTACGAATCCAAGTATGAGGGAATTGCACTGCATTCTCCCTAAAAGGCTGAAAGGTGATGAAAACTAGTATTTGTCGTAACATGATGCTATCACTTTAGAAACCATTCTAGGCAATAGGTTTCAACTGGCATAAACCTGTGTCCCCATGAAGGATCAATTGAGGGTATAACTAAAAAAGAAACAAATGACTTAGATGAGTTATAACCAATGAACCTGAAAAGGATAAGGAGAAACAGGGAACACAGAAAATCTTTCACTAAGCCAAAAAACGGACAGCCAGAAAGAATCACACATTATCAAAATGATATAAGCCCTATTCTATGCTGCAGTCAACAAATAATATCCACATTTTGACTGATCATAATTCCAATATCCCCAAGCTCCCCCAATAAAGAACCTCCAAAGTCCAATTCCAGCAGTCTAACTAGCAAAAAATCCACATTTCAAAAATTTTATTGAAATCCCATTTCTCCTATAAACTTCATTATCTTTCATAAACTAGCGCATAAAATTTCCCATCCCGATGACAATTCAAATTAATTAACTAATCAAGTATTGCTGAAATACGAAAACAAATTAACCATCCATAAACAGAACCAAATACTCAAGTTTCTAGCTTACAGGCTAAGAACACAGCGGGTGACTTGATGGCCTTTGTCAAGGCATTTTTCCGGGTTCGGATCATCCTTCTTGCACTTCAAAAACGCCACATTCTCATCACGGCACCTTGTTGCTATGTGCTTTGAAGCTGCCATCAAAACTGCCGACGTGGGGATCGGATTTCCTGCTGCATCCACCGTATTACCCATTCTCCAAATGCTTTTTCATCAAACCGAAACAAGGAAACCGTAAAAGAAAGAAACCCAGTAAAGATTTTAGTCACTTTTTCTTATTATTGAAACAAATTATTGTTCTTGGAAATGAAAAACCTACATGCAACAATTTAAAAAAATGGAAAAGAATATGGTACACTAAAAGAATTGGCATTTATGGTTTGGAGATGGAAATTAAAAGGAAATTTGCACCTTTTACCCTTTCCTCAAATGTGGGTTCGAGCTGAAATTGTCCAAAGATCGAATTTTTTAACTTCAGAATTTTAGGGCAAGCAGTGAAGTGAGAAGTGAGAAGAAGAAATGAGGGAGATTTTATGTTTGCGCTTTGGCTGTGCCAAAATGCGCACTTATCTTACTATGGCAATAAGTCTGTTGTTAGGGGTACTTTTGTCTTTCCGAGAAATATGCCATCGAGCGGTTTTATAAGGGTTCCAAACTTGCTGGCTTCAATACAGGAAGTAAAGAAGGCACGGTGGTGGGGTAAGAAAGAACGAATTTTTGCAGTGAGTTTTTCATGATTAATTTCGAGTATTTTGTTGCATATAAAAGTTGTTTTCTTCATCGAATGATCTTTATAATCTCAGCATATATGTCAATTTTCGTTGAAGTGTTTATTGCAGTTTCTGTATTTATATCTATGCAAATGTTTGGATTCTTGAATATTCTTTTATGAGCAATAGAATTCAAAGGGTTCTGTGTCCAAATCTAAAAGCAGAGTTTATAGAAGTATTGAAACCCATTTACAAAGCAGAAAGCTTTTCTGAAAATAACGGGAAGATTTTGTGTCTGGTGTAAAAAAGAAAAAAAAAAAGTTTATTATGCTCTTTATTATTTGGCTTTTCTCAGTTTTCTCAGGAAGGAGAAACTTTAGGACTAACAGAATGCGGTTGGAATTGCGGTTAAGGGAGTAAACTGTTGCGATACTTGTTAGATGTCCAAGTTAGAAAAACCCACAACATTTCTCGTAAAGCTGTGTGATTGATGCTAAAAATTCTGGTGAAACAATTGAGTCTTTGAAATTTAGTTAGTAACCTGAAATTTTTTAGAAATACGTTCAGCGTCTGATAAATATCGTTTTGTCTGCATACCTGTGTTCTCGCTGCGGAACTGTGAAATGTGCTAGCATGGTTTGGTTATCTTGTATCTGTTGAAAGATTCCAATGATGATTACTAACGTTCAAGCTCAACAGACCGGATTGCACAAGGCTTCTCTACTTTGAGGGCTTATGCATGTCGATTTTCTCTTTACCGAGCGATGTCCATTTTCTGAATCTAAAGGTGTCTTTGTGCATAGGAGGTTGCTAGCCTAGATTTTTATGTGGGATTTCCTTGCGTTGATAGAATTCATAGGTGACACGGGTTAAGTTTTGGATTCATCTGATTATTTTTGATATCCTTGTTAATTTTGGTATGCCATTTCTAACTGCAACTTTTGTTCTCTGGTCTGGTTATAATCTGCCTTTTACTTTAAAATGCTAAAAAAAGGTTTGTCTTCCATGAATGATGACATAATTGTAATATGGACGTTTGTTTTCTGGGTTTTTGATTGGATGGGGTTCTGTTATGGGTTCTGTTTGACAGAGTTTGATGTTTGCTTTGTTTCTTATTTTAGCTTGTACTAAATGGGTGACAAGAAGAAGGCAGGTTCAATTCTAGTGAGGCTTGTCTCTGCAGCTGGTACTGGATTCTTCTATGTGGTTAGGAAGAGCAGGAGGTTTCAGAATACCCAGGCCAAGCTTGAGTTTCGCAAGTATGATCCTCGTGTGAAGCGCCATGTTCTCTTCACTGAGGCAAAGATGAAGTGAGAGACGCGCAGAGTATTTACTCCTGGCGATTTAATATCCTTGCCTGTTACATGTGAATTAAATTTTACATGAAAGAAAGCGCATAGTTGTGAAGACAATTTTGGTATTTGCTGTATGATGGTTTGACTGCAATATCATGGCAAACTTGTAGCTGAAGCTGGACGACTCTACATTCTTTTAGATTAATAACAGACCTGCAACTTTGGGATGCTATTATCTGCTTCTCCAATATCTAATTCCAGAATTTCTTTGGGCTTTTTAAATTTAGAAGAACGCACTTTTGATGTGTGTTGAGCCATTAATTCATGCCTTTACTTGTCTTCATGGTACTTGTGGCTCTGCAATTCCCCCCGTCATCTTCGTAATCCGGAGGTTAGTCTTACTCTTGGCAATTAGCTTAGTCTTAACTCTGCTTGGCTATGTCAGGGGTCATGTAAATGTCCTGAAGGGTGTTCATTTGGGTGTCTTTGAACCTCGGTTCTTGAGGGTGACATGTTCTTGAATCCAATTTAGTTGACTTGTGTAGTTGTCAGCTAAAAGGCAGAGTGAAGCGTGATTGAATTTTATGCTGGCAGATTTAGATGATCCGTGCGGTTCAGTTCATCTAGTTGATTTGGTGCCGTATAAAATTGAATGCTTGATCACTTGCAATGCTGCCGTTGCCTGCGTGGCTAAATTCTAGTTTCTAGTGTATATAGTTCCCTCTTGTCCATTTAGTACTCCCTCTGTCTCACTTTGATTGATAATTCTGCTTTCTATCTTCCCCAAATTGTAATTCATTTTCTAATTGAAGAACGTAGTTATCTTTTAATTTCTTTAAAATGCTCTTATTTAATGTAGGTTGTTATTAGTATAAACTATTTTTTTTAATACAGATTGTTATTGAATATAACTTACCCCATTAAATGCATTTAGATTTTCCAAAACATATTGATATATGAAAAGTCAATTTTGTTATTATTTCAAGCTTATTTATATCAGGGAAACAAATGATGTGAAATAAGGATTGATTTTTTTCTTGACCATCGATTCAAGTTAATGTAAGGATGTTTTAGAAAAATAACAATCTAATTTGTTTTTCCAACAAAATTAACTACTTTTTCTTAAATCATGTGAAAAAAAAAAATTTAAGACCGTCAAAATAGGATTTAAATTGTGTGAAAAAAAAAAAAACTATAACTGGCGGAGGGAGTACTATAATAACACAGCAGTGGCTCGCCTTGCATCAACATGTATCATGAAGGCCGCGATTCCTATGCTTTTGGCACCACCTGCATATTAACTACTGGTCACTTAGCATAATCGACTCCTAAGATGGTATGGTATCCATTCAAGATGGATGATTAGGTAGGAAATCTGAACATTAAAGAGTATAATGATGGCTGATAATATAATTGTTTCAATCGAAGCACTGAATTGAGAGATAAATGCTGATAATGAGCAAGATAGGGCACTAAAAAGCAAAAAGAGAAACATCTTAAAATTTTCTGAGTGGGAAATGGGGAATGCCTTCAATTTAATTAAATGCTTCCACGCGTTAGCTGCACCACAGTACGCCCCATTTTGTAGTATTCCATCTTTTGTTTATCATATAGATGGAAAAAGATGGGTAGGCAGATCCTGCAATTGCACTTTTTCAGTTTTTCTCCGGACAACAAGGTGCGCATTAAGGTGGCAAATGCAGGACCAATGAATTTGATTAGCCAAGTCAGAAGCCTGAAATCTTTTCATTAGACAGCTTTTAATCCTTGTATTTGGAGAATTATTTACTTACCTTAACCAACTTGAAAGTGGAAGTGGATCCTATCAAAAATCAGAGTCAAAAATACAACTGACTTACATTTGACACCACTTCTTCCCTAGTTGAAGAAAAGATGGAAAAACATGTAGAATCTATCCAGACCCTAGTGCTCCTACGTTATCACTTATCACCACATCTCTCTATCCATTTGGGATTTCTTCCAACGTGGCCCAATCAAAAGATACCAGACCATTTGACTCCCGCTTCACTTTCCAATTTTGCAGTATAAATAGGTCCAAAGCAACTTTCTTGAATTCTGCACTTTCAGTTCACACTTCACAGAGAAGAAGATTCATACATCCCTCGAGTCCGCAGCCCACATTCTCCGCCCAGAATCCACCATTTCAGCACGATCATTTGCAGTTCTTGCCTTCTAATTTCACACACAGCACACACTCTTCATCCAGTCAGAGCTCATTGCTTCTTTCTTTTGCCATTCTTACCTTATATAGCAGCAGTGAAACCAGAACTTATCCCTGGAGCTGGAATCATATCTTGGGTTGCTTTTCTTGTCAACCCTTTTGTTCATTTTTATTGGGTTTTCAAGCTTAGGCCTATAAAGTGTATGCATCATGGCTTTAAGTACATTTGCGTTCCCTGCAAATTTAAGCGGGGCAGTCGTCTCAGATTCCATAAAGCGGAGTCTTCTCTATTCTAGCTGGCTCTATGGGACAGATCAGCATCTTCATTTTCAATCCATGAATAACCAGGTTTGACATCTTTCTGATGATTTAGCTCAAAATAAAATCTTTACAAAACTATCATTGAATGGATATCCTGATCGCCCCTTTTGGATAAAAACTAGTTTTTGATTCCTTCTCACCTGATCACGCCGTTGAACTTGTATTTGTGCGCTTTTTCGTTTGTGTTTGTTTTGTCGGTACTGATAACTTTGTGCTTACCATTGCTGTTATTAAATTGACATTGAATTATCTGTTGTTCTTCTTGCATTTTGTTGAGAGGTACTGTGTTTATCATTACATATCTTAGTATTGGACTTCTTGAATGAAACGTTGGTTTTGGACTCATTTTGTTGTAAAGGTCACAAAAAAGTCCAGTGGAGTTCGGGCATCACTGTCAGAAAGAGGGGAGTATTACTCGCAGAGACCACCAACTCCTCTACTGGACACTATCAATTATCCAATTCACATGAAAAATCTTTCTACTAAGGTGACTACATGTTTGATGAAGTTGTGTAATAATGATTGCTTGTAATGTATATTATTAACTGTCTGAAATTTAAAGCAATTTCTTGATTCAGGAATTGAAACAACTTGCAGATGAACTGCGTTCAGATATCATTTTTAATGTTTCAAAGACTGGAGGTCATCTTGGTTCGAGCCTCGGTGTTGTTGAGTTAACTGTGGCTCTTCATTACTTATTCAACTGCCCCCAAGATAAGATACTTTGGGATGTTGGTCATCAGGTAATGATTTAAACTTGATGGAGAGTAGACTATATGGATGGTGTAGTTTCTAAATTGTTTTATGCCTCTAAATTGTTTAATGAAGGTTAACAATGGTCTTCTATTCTATTCTGCAGTCCTACCCTCATAAGATTTTAACTGGGAGGAGAGACAAAATGCCAACTTTAAGACAGACAGATGGACTGTCAGGGTTCACTAAGCGATCTGAAAGTGAATATGATTGCTTTGGTGCTGGTCACAGTTCTACCACCATCTCTGCTGGCCTAGGTAATTTGTTTCTTCTGGTCAAGAATTGAGTTTGGAATTGGTAGAATTTTTACATTAACTGAAAAGGACCTCAATGTTTAAGTTATATATGAAAATCCTTTGGGGGGGGGGGGTTCTGGATTCTTTTGGCATAGTTGTTTGTGCTGTAAATATCCATGAAAACCTATCCTACTTCATCTCACTCCAGTAGATGTCCCTTTATTGCGCAGCATGACAATAGCTCTTTATTGATATTATTAATCTTTATTCTAGTTAACTATTAAGATCCAGCATATGATTCTTTTAGATTTTTTGTGGGCAGGAATGGCTGTAGGAAGGGATTTGAAGGGAAGAAAAAACAATGTGGTTGCAGTTATTGGTGATGGTGCTATGACAGCAGGTCAGGCTTATGAAGCCATGAACAATGCTGGATACCTGGATTCTGACATGATCGTTATTCTGAATGACAACAAACAAGTATCCTTGCCCACTGCGACACTAGATGGGCCCATACCTCCAGTAGGAGCTCTGAGTAGTGCTTTGAGTCGGTTGCAGTCCAACAGGCCTCTTAGAGAACTAAGAGAAGTTGCCAAGGTTTGAATACTTCAATAGGACAAAGAATGTGGCAAGCTTTTCTTTTCTGCCCTGGGTTAATGTGGATAACATTTTTTCTGGTAATGGAAAATGCAGGGGGTTACCAAGCAGATTGGTGGTCCAGTGCATGAGCTTGCAGCAAAAGTTGATGAATATGCTCGTGGCTTGATCAGTGGTTCTGGATCCACTCTATTTGAAGAACTTGGGTTTTATTATATTGGTCCGGTAGATGGTCACAACATTGATGATCTCGTTACAATTCTTAAAGAAGTTAAGAGTACTAAAACAACTGGTCCAGTGCTGATCCATGTTGTGACTGAGAAAGGCAGAGGTTATCCATATGCTGAAAAAGCTGCTGACAAGTACCACGGTAAAGTATACCTTACAAAGTTGCAGAATTGTTGTCAGATCAAGTTAGATTGAGAATTGAGAATTTATTGTTTTTGAAAACTCATCATCCAGGACTTACTTTCTCTGAATTTGAAAAAAAAAAAAAAATCCATTAGTAGATCTTGATCAGGGAGGTGCTGAACATGATGTGAGACAACCTGATGTATCTTTTGCATGCGTGCAGTTTTTTAATTTAATAAAAAGCTCATTAGCAGATTTGCCTTTTGCAGGAGTTGTGAAGTTTGATCCAGCAACAGGAAAGCAATTCAAAACCAGTGCCAAAACTCAGTCTTACACAACATACTTTGCAGAGGCTCTGATTGCTGAAGCAGAAGTAGACAAAGACATAGTTGCAATCCATGCAGCAATGGGAGGTGGAACAGGCTTGAACATTTTCCTTCGTCGTTTCCCAACGCGATGCTTTGATGTTGGGATAGCAGAACAGCATGCTGTTACCTTTGCTGCTGGTTTGGCCTGTGAAGGCCTAAAGCCTTTTTGTGCAATCTACTCATCTTTCATGCAAAGGGCCTATGACCAGGTAAGCCAAGACGCTTCCCACTTTGTCCAATTCAATTTTTATAATCTACAATGATTGTCATTTTTTTTTTTAGCTTGCAGATCTGTTAACTCAATGGCTTTGTTTATATTAGGTAGTGCATGATGTGGATTTGCAAAAGCTGCCAGTGAGGTTTGCAATGGACAGAGGTGGTCTGGTTGGAGCAGATGGTCCTACACATTGTGGGGCTTTTGATGTAACATTTATGGCATGCCTTCCAAACATGGTGGTGATGGCTCCTTCAGATGAAGCTGAACTATTTCACATGGTTGCTACTGCTGCTGCCATAGATGATAGACCTAGCTGCTTCCGTTATCCTAGAGGGAATGGGATAGGTGTAGAGTTGCCGCTGGGAAACAAAGGCATTCCTCTTGAGGTATGGTTAAACATTTTTATTTATTTATTTATTCGGTATGGTTAAACACTTCATTTAAGTGTCCAAGTGCTGAAGGGAACTTCAAGAAACTGAGCTATGTGAATCTAAACTGATATTTACACAAAAAAAAAAATTTTTCAGGTTGGGAAAGGTAGAATATTGATTGAAGGGGAAAGAGTGGCTCTCTTGGGCTATGGAACAGCAGTTCAAAGCTGTTTGGCTGCAGCTACCTTAGTAGAAGCCCATGGTTTGCGGCTAACAGTTGCAGATGCACGCTTCTGCAAGCCATTAGATCATTCTCTGATACGCAGCTTGGCAAATTCTCATGAGGTCTTGATTACTGTTGAAGAAGGATCAATTGGCGGTTTTGGATCTCATGTTGCTCAGTTTATGGCTCTTAATGGGCTTCTTGATGGAAA